AACAACATTCAATATTTAGTATTTACTGCTGTTTACACTTAGCTAGATTAACGTGATGGTGTTGTGTTTAGTATATTGCTCTGGGTTTTTTGCTTGTTTTCTCTTCTTTTTCTCTCAACAGATGATCCAGGAGATTTTTTTTCTCTTCTTTCTCTTTTTAAGTGCCCTTTCTCACTGTCCCTCTTCCCTTCTGTTTTTCTTTTCCTTCATCTTTTTTCTCCCTTTCCTATCCCTCAGTCATGTCTTTCCCGTCTGTAACAACTGAAAATAAAATAAAACAAATAATAACAACAAAGGTAGATCAAATTGACCAATACGGCAAGGCCGTGATGATCCATTTGGCAAAGTAAATCCATTGGGTGTCACGGCCAGGCGGATCAGCTGCACGCTGATCAGCTCTCTCTCTCTCATTGTGGGTTCACGCCCTCGGCCCACGCCCTTGACAGATGAGACACCTGGGTCTCATTAAGACGATCAGCATTTAAACCAGGAGGCGACTGCTATTCATCGCTGGATCGTTGTCTACCACGCGTTAGTGAAGTCAAGCTACAGCAAGTCTAGTTAAGAGTATTTTCCTTTGTGTGTCGTACTTAACCCTGTCTCCCTGTCTACAGAGCTTTCTGGATCTTCCCCCGTGTGATTCCCGTGTGGCAGCGTCGGAGTGTGAGCCTGTGATCGTGTGTGTGGATGATCTGAAGAACGCGTGCTTTCCCCCTGGACTTCCCTGGAGACCCCTTCTTCCCTCAGTCAGCTGTATATAGCACCCTCCGCACCTTCTTGTATATACACCTGGTGAATTGTAAATAAATCCTTCTTGTGAGCATCAGAACCGGAGTCCTGTACTTGAGTCCTCCTCCAAACCATAACATTAGGTATCCTTGTTGGTCAATTTTTCCATTACTTACAGGCCTGGGTCATGAAATATCAAACCAGTTGCATTGTCACGTCAGTTTTTATGTTCTGAGGAAGATGGTGAGGAGGCATCAATCTTGCATCTTGGCTGTGTCACAGGAGGTCTCACCTGGGAGATTGAGTCAGTGGTACGGCAGGCCCAGCCTAC